TTTTTTTTTTTTTCTTCTTTTTTCCCCCTCCCTCGTCGACGAATAAAATATCAAATTCACCATTCGCGAGCAGTGAAACGGTTAAACGGTTACTATTAACCTTTTCCAAGGGAGAAATATAGAGTCCCTCGTGGAAACGTATTACCGGATAGCGAATAATTAAACTCGAGTAATTACTTTCACGGAAAGAAAGAAACTGCATAATATTCTGTTAAAAGAATTTATATTTCTATTATATTACATTTTTATATGAAATTTAACAGAATGTTAGCCACAATAAACGGGGTAATATAATTGATTTAGAAAAGCAATTACTCGACGACGAGAGAGCGAAAAGAAAGAAAGAGAGAGAGAGAGAGAGATTCTTTAACCTTCGAATCCTTTTCTCCGTTTACCCTTTCTCTCCTTTTTCTTTAATCCGTTTCGGCGGTTTAATAAATATCGCGATTTTATTCTCCCTCCCCACGATAAAGGGGCGGCAGGGATATAATAACGAAGCCCCGCCCGTTGGAAAACGTTCGTACCTCGGGTCGATACGTTTTAATTAGTTTTCGCGACAAGTTGTTACGCGCCTTGCCCTCCATCTTATTGTAATTTACGGGACAATTACGGGCGGGGATTCACGGGAGGAGGGGGAGGATCCGAGCTTGGGTGTATAGCTGGGACGTGCCGATATTCCTCGTTTGCAGTTCAAACAATGCCTCCAACCCCCTCTCCCGCCCCTTTCGTGCCTCTGATTCGGTCCCTTTCATCCCACCTTCTTTCCCTTCAAAGTCCTCTCGCTCCCGTTTCCGGCGGAAACGCTGACGCGTCAAATTCGTGGGAAACGTTTGCGCGCCCATGCGAGCAAGACGTGATTTCACGTTTTAAAACGGAAAAACCTGGGAGGATCCTATCCAGATCCTGTACCAGGAATTATGCTGATGCATCGCGATCGGTTTGCAATTCCCTTTTCCGATTTTCCTTTTTCTTGCTTGTTATAAGGATTAAATAGTTGAGCATTTTTATCCGAGAAGGGTAAATACACGTATCGATTTTTAACGCTAGAACGATCAAACCTGTCCAAATAAGAAGCGATTTCATTATTTCTCGTTTTATGATTCTAAATATATACATATATTCACTTTAATTACAATCGTTTATACGTAAAACAGATATTCGGATACCGGTTAGTTAAATATTGCCAAAACAAGCAATAGAAAAATATATATATATGTTTCTCGCTTGTAGAGTCGATAGAACATTGGACGGTTCGAGGAGTCCATTCCAGTCGATGGCTGGTCTGCCATAAGCGCCTTCTAACGTGGACCTCGTTGAATTTCAGATAGCTCGAGGGGGCGAGCTGGTGCAGCCAGCAGCCAGCCATCCAGTCAGCCTCTCTGTTCGACCACCTTCCACCGATCCTTTTTGGAAAAAGAAGCATGCGCCCGCGGCAGTTACCTGAACGACTACGACGAGTCCGCCACCACGGGTCCTCCTCCAGCTCCAAAGGGATAAAGCGGGAGGATAGATGGGATAGACGGAGAGGGAGGGGAAAGAGAGTTGAGAATTGTTCGTGGTTTTGTCAGCAGGACGTTTCACGAATCCGTGAATTTCGGAGAACCGGCGTGTGTCCTGGACCGGATCGAACGAGAAAGAGAGAGAGGGAGAGAGGGAGGGAAGAAGAGAGGAAGAGAGAAGCCCATTCCCTTCCCGCCATCCGACCGCTATCTCGGGGTACCCTGACGTGCTATCCATTCCCAACGAATATTTCTGCTCCAGGAAATTTCGGCGAGAACCGAATCGCGGATTACCAGCGATAAAGCCGCCTTCTCCTTCGTACTCCTCTATTTTTCTCTCTCTCTCTCTCTCTTCCTTCTCGCGTGGGAAGTCAACCTTGGCTCGATCCATCCCCGCGTCGATAGATTGATTGTTACGAGCCGGATATGGGGAAGAGCGAGGAATTTACCGCAATGTGGTATTGCGGATTTGTTAAATTTTCTGAGAGGGGGGGACAAATGATGGAGAGAGGAATTTTGCGATATGCGAATACGTAAATTGGAGTTTCGAATATGCGATTTTGATTAAAATTTTAATTCGTAGTAAATTCGTGGTGCGAACGGAACGATTGGAATGATGGAGAAAAATGGAAGGAGAACTCCTCGGGGGGAAGATAGACCGACGAAATTAGAATCGAGAAGGAAGGGAATCGCAAAGAGAGGGAGGAAGAGAGAAAGCGGAGGGTGAAATTGATAGAAAGGCTTTAATGAAAATGGCGTGCACGTCGGTTGATCTGAAAAGGTATCGATGAAACGAGCCGGTTCATTACACGGTTGCAGTAAAGGAAACGAGAAATATCGTGCGCTACTAATGTATTCTCTGCTGCTTTCCTGTGTATACAGGGCGAAGGAAGAAAGGACTCGTAACTATCGAGATAGGCTTGGTAAGTAAACTTTTGATGAATCGAAAAATTTTTTCCCTCGTTCGAATATTTTTTATTTTAAAAATTATCGACACTTTCTTTTTAATTATATTATCCACGATGTGGCGCATGATGCCACATTGTGAATATTTTATTTAGAATTAACGAGGCTTAAGGCCATTGGAATGATGTGTTGTTTCGATTAATAGAATATTCTCTTTCGTACAATTAGGGTATTAGCTTTGCTCGTGAACAAGGATTCGATAGAGGTAAATTTATCATCTTTGATATATATATATATATATATATATATACGTATGAAAAATCTCGTAAATACGATAACTGCTGTTTTATTGTCGAGAATAATTTATAGTATGGAACATGGAGATTTTAGGAAGGGAAAGGGAAGAGTGGTAAATAAGCACCGTTATCTGAAATAACCCCTTCCCACGTTGCAGTGTGGGCAGTCGTTTAGATAACAGCTTTCGCTATTTTTCAACTTTGAAGCAACGATACTCTTCTCTACGTTTAAAAGTAATATTATTATTATCTAGTAAATTTTTATACGACGCGCATGTGTTTTCATAACATCACGGTAAATGCGATTATTTTGAAAAATTCGAGAAGAAAGAGATTTAGATAAATTATTTAAATCTCGCCACACCGAAACGAAACTTTACTTTATTTTATCAAAATCATCTTTAATCCTTCAATTACAATGTTTCAGAGTTTTTATTTTCTTTCCAAGCGGCCGCGCCAGCTTCATCTCTATTTCATTAAAGGAACGAAAGTGGCTACCGTGGAAACGGGATGAAAATTATCATTTCACGAACGGATTTGCGCGTCTGAAAATTGGAATCGGCTAACCTAAGCCTCTGACGATGCGTTCCAATTCACTTTGATAAGGATTAATTCAATTACTTCAATACGATTTAAGGATTAATTTCCGCTGGTGTACTCGAGTTTCAGCGCAAAGGTTAAGTAGATTCCGAGCACCGGTATTCTCTTCCGAGAATTATAACTTAATTCGATATTTTTTCGAGTGCTTCGTAAATTATCATCCAAACAATTTTAAATATATTATATTATAATCGATACGAAACAACTTTTCTTCGTACAGGATATTATTTATCCTATTATATACTTATCACTTATAAAAAATACATTCGTCCTTATCGTTATTATTATTAAAATAAATTCAAGATCGAACGAGATACGTAGCAATTAAAAAGCATGGGATGAAATCACGCGTAGACGAGACGAAGATAAAAAGTAACACCAATAATAAAAAAGAAGAATTAAAATAGAAAAATTACTTACCGAAATCTCGCATTTGCTCGGGCAAACGCACTTGGCTTCCCCACCATTGTCAGTCTTGCACTCTGCGTAAAACTCGCACTTCTTATTCTCGCACTCGTCTGGGAACAAACGGCGAAACATTTCCAATTAACAAGCAAAACCTTCATCGAGTGGCCTCCCTTCTCCCCATCCCTCCCTCTATCCCCGAACGCATCCATCTTCCTCCGTAATTGCCCTTGAGCAAAAACCTCCCCCTTGCAAGACAGACCCATTCGTCACCGCGAACGTTCGTTCGTTCGTTCGAGGTGAACGCTCAGCCTCGAAATCTCAGATTCCTTGATATTCTCTCCTCACGGGCCTCCTAATTCACCACTCGAGTCCGTGACTGAATTGTTTAAGGCGGCGCCCCTTCCGTTTCCGCGATATTCCACGCGGTACCCTGTTGCGGTACTCGAAACACTCTGGCCGCCCTCCATTCGACCCCACATCGATAAACATTCCTTCCTCCGAGCTATTTTCCATAACTGCATCCCCCTCCCTTCCAGCCGAATCATCCCCTTTTGCGGGGAGGATCAGGAGAGAAGGAAAACAGTGGAATGGATTACACAGATTATAAATTGGTGCTTTTTTCCCCTCCTTATTTCCACTCCTCCCCGTTTGATCGATCGAATCCACCGTTGCGAAAAGCAAGCTAATTTAAGGCAAGGAAGATAATACCTTTCTTTCGATTTCACTTAAGCTATGAGGTGGAAATCGGGCGCGTGTATGCACAAGTTGACTCTCTCGTCGATAAAAGGGTGTTTTAGGTGGAGAGAGAGAGAGAGAGAAAGAGAATTGTCGTATATATCGAAATGGAAGACGCAAGAGTCGTGGAAACGAGGGGAAGCGAGGGTGTGTGTACGGAGAGAGCGACTGCATGCATATGCATCGTGCATGCCGTGGGGTAACAACTCATACCAAGTATCTCTAGTGAGCCGTGATGTGCACGGAACCGAATCCCCCGAATGCCAACTACGTTTCGCAAGTTTCACGCGATTTTAAAGCATGCAAATTGTGCCGCGCGGCCGGCGAGAGAATTCGGATCTCGGCCACGAGATTTCTTTCCCCGGATCGGAGGCAGGGGTTATTCGCGTCACGGGTCGGATTATGAGAAAAGTTTGCCTCGATCTCTCTTTGCGGCCAACCTATTTTCGCCCCGAAGATCTCGTCGGAAATTTGACGTTTCATCCGTTGGCTCCATGGAAGGAGGGGGGAGGATACGTTTTTCGTTGGAGATGGCGCTTTTCGTTTCTCGTATAGATTGCGAAGAAATTTGGAATTTGGATCGGGGAAAGAAATTTCAATCGCAAATTTACTTCCATTGTCATTTTCTTTTCTTTTTTTTTTTTTTTTTAAATAGAATGCTTCGTAAAACCGTTGACGAAATATTCTTAAGACAAAAGCAAAACGGTTCACGGTTGATCGATATGCAAATACTTTTATGATAACGTGGAAGAGGATAGATCAAAAGGTTCCATGTATGCAAATTATACTCTCGTGGTCGAGCGAATATTTACAAAAAAATTCTCAATCTCCCTTGTTGATTTTCTAAAGAAAAAAAAAAAAAAAAAGAAGGGAAAAAAGGATGGTCGTCGTGGGTCAAATCTAATTGCGCGAATCCTCGATATAACGAGCTCGATGTAACGAGTTCACCCAGTCGGAATCGATCTTCGTTCGATTTTTCTCCCGGCAACCGCCCCGTTTCATAATAAAGTTTTCTTAATTATTTACCCGCTACCTTCCTTCTAATTGTTCCGCTTTCCCGCTCGATCAATACTCGACGAATTTCGCGTGGAAAAATCTTAGTCGATTAACATTTCCAGGAAAAAAAAAAAAAGAAAAACGAAATTACAAGTTTCCTCTTTTTATTATACCTCGAAACTATCGATTATTTATTTCCGAGTTTCGTGTCCGTTTCGTTTCTATTATTAGATATTTAACGTGGAACGAACGAACGCGTTTCGTTTGCATAATTCTAAACTCATTTTCCCGACGATCAATTATCGAAGTTAAATTTCAAATTTAACCGTACTATCGACCGAATCGATATTGCCAATGAGCTGACGCGTTGATAAAATTGTTATCGTGTCAAAGAGTCGTAACGAGCGTTCGATTCTTCTAACGATCTTCGATCGACGAATGAAATATCGACGAATAATCCACGTTAAACAACGATGAAAGAGGAATGTACATTTTTAACGTTTTTTAAAGTTAAATTCTAGGGGCCTAGAAAATTGGAATTAAACGGTCGAGCGTTACTCACTGCACAGCCCCTGGTAAAGCACACGTATCTCTCGTCGATGTTTACAACCCTCCAGGCGAAGCTGACACTCGTTTCCGTAGCTGATTCCGTCGTCTCCGCAAACCGGCTGAAATTCCGCCGGACAGGTTGGACACTCGCAAATCGCCGTCCCACCGATTTCCGCGCAAATCGCGCCCCACTGGCAGATCTGCGACAGAATTCAAATTCGAATTTTCCAGTTTCCCCCTCTCCCTTTTCCATGCTCGAGAGAAAAACGCGAGATTAATCGCGCTGGATCGCGTCGTTGCCTTTTCTTTTCTTTTTTTCTTCTACCCCTCGGCGACAGCGGCCTCTTTGTCGTAAGTTTCCTCCGCCCAAACCCGATAATTTATCGTCCGCGATATTTTATCGCCACGCGCGCCACTTTAATTCAACGGGATTCAACGTCGCTATTCCTTTCTTCCTCGGGCAGGAAATCGGCTTTCGAACGGATTAAGAAACTGAGAAGTCGCGAGAACGAGTTCATGTATTATGTAAATCGCCGTTTAGATTCTTTCGTGTTGTCCTTTTGAGCTCGAATAGAACAAAGGCATCGGCACGATCCACATACGAAACACACGGTTTACTCCTATTTTTCCTTTATTAAATATATTCCTTTTTACTTTTGGTCAAATTCAATTACGAGATTTAATCAAATTATCGTTCGAGGAATTATTTCGATTTTCTCTCGTCGCGCATCCGACTGACCTTCTCGGAGCAGGGACCCCTTGAGCCGCATGTGCCCGTGTAGGCGACCTCGATGTTGGTCCTCGTCAAACAGGCCTGCCTCTTCAGCTCGCACAACGAGGTGTACGTCTTGCCACCTCTCGCGCACACAGGCC